CCCCCAGCCAGCTTCCCCCAGCCGGCACAGCCACCAAAACGAGAGCTGCTGCAGCCCTAACACACACCAGTGCCTGCACTGATGCAGAGCTGTGCTGTGGGTCTGGCCGTTCTGTACCCAAATTTCTTGGGGAGGGGTTGAGTGTGGTGGGTGGGGATGCGGTGGGTTGGTCGTGCATGCTGCCAGAGCCAGGAGCCCAGCACAGCCTCGCCTGTCCTCTTCCCATCTGCTGAGTCCATGGCTGGGGACAGCCATTGGGCTGGGTGGTGGTTTGGTTTGGATGGTTGTTTTGGTGCTGGGACTGTCTCGTCGTGTTTTTGCATTTTGAATTTTAAGCCTTTGTAACTGCGCTTTGATCTTGCTGCCTCGCAAGCGAGTGCAGCTGGCTGCAGCACATCCCGGCTGCCCGCCCGTACCCTGGCAGTCCCCGTCAAGGCTGCTTTGATGTATTGATTGGTGTCTACGTGCAGCCCAGAGCTCGCTGCCTGGCCGTGGGCAGCGTGGCAAATGAGCCAGCACAGGCGTGGGGAGGCTGGCTGGCCCTGTATGGGCCGTATTCAGCTCTTGGTGCAAGGGCAGTTTTAAGTGCAGGCTGCACGTCATTACTGCGTCTGCCTGTGCCATGGTACCCAGCCCTGCCTGTCACCTCGGCTGTGGAGGTGGCTGGTGGCATCTTTGGGATGTACCAACCTCTTTTCTCAGCCACAAATGAATCAAGGTTGTTGCTGGGTGCAGGAGCTGAAGCATCCCTTGCACTGTTTGCTCCACACTGCAGGCAGAGGTGCTGCTGGACCCCTGCCCCCAGCAGGCATGGCTCCAGCATGGGCCGTGCTCACATCCTCAGGACCAGGCTCGTGTCCCTCGGGACAGTGGTGAGCCCCAAAGCTGCCCTCAGCCCTCTTCTCTTACTGCAGGATCCGTCCCCAATTGTCCAAAGAGAAAATAGAGGGATGTCACATCTGCACCTCGGTGACGCCTGGCGAGCCCCAAGTCCTGCTGGGGAAGGACAAGGCCTTCACCTATGACTTTGTCTTTGACCTGGACACATGGCAGGATCAGATCTACACAACGTGCGTGGGCAAGCTCATTGAAGGCTGCTTCGAGGGCTACAATGCCACCGTGCTGGCATACGGCCAGGTACATGCTCTGCGTCTCCTTGGGCTCTGGCATGGGTGTTGGGCTCTCCTGCAGTGCTGGAGATGCTGAGATGGCACGTGCAGAGGTTAGGGAAGGTGGAGGTGTATAAGGTCCTGGATGTTGAAGGGACAGAGAGTTGTCCCTGGCCTGGGTGAGAGCTGGGGCAGGGGGTGGCCTTGGGTGGGAGGAGAGGGAGGCAGGGCTGGGAACATGGGAGCTGGTGTGGTGGTAGGGATCAGAGGGGCTCAGCAGAGGCGTTTGGGGAGCCTGGGGTTGCAGGGGGATGTGTGGGGTGCAGTAGGCAGAGCTGAGCCTGGGAAGGCCCAGCCAGCTCCCCCCTTGCTGCCTCTTCACAGACTGGTGCAGGGAAGACGTACACCATGGGCACTGGCTTCGACATGAACATCTCTGAGGAAGAGCAGGGCATCATCCCGCGGGCCATCGGCCACCTCTTCAGCGGCATCGAGGAGCGCAAGCGGGTGGCACAGAGTCAGGGTGTGGCGGCACCCGAGTTCAAAGTCAGCGCCCAGTTCCTGGAGGTGGGTGACACTCTGGCCCTGCTCTGTCCTTTGCTCAGCTCTGTGTCCTGGGCTTCTTGAGTCCTCCATGTCCTGGCTGCTCCCTGGCTGAGCTGGACCCCGCAGCAGGGATGTGTGCCAGGGCAGAGGAGACTCAAAGCACCTGAATGTTGTTGACTTCACGATGGTCACAAACTGGGGTGGCACCTTCTTGCCTGCAGGGACACCCCCCCATGGGGAAGAGGCTTATGCTGTGGTCCCTGGAGATTCAGGGGACTCTGAGCTTGCTTACTCCTGTTTGAAGCTGAGGATAGTGGCATACCTGCTCCCCTGGGTCTGGACCAGCATTCCCAGTGAAACAAGGAGAGGAAAAAGTGCCATTCTTGTGGGGATTTGAGGAAGAGCTGTGGTTTTTCCCATGTCCTTTGCTGCATCTTTGACCTTGAGAATGTTTCACTGCATCCTCTCCCGCATCTGCTTTGGTCTCTCCATTTCAAAAGTCTCTTCTATTAACTGCTTCTTTCCCTGGAGAAGTTTGTCCCAGAAAGCCTGTGGACCTTGTGTGTCTGCAGTGGTTTCCCTGGAGCTGGTCCTGGGGTGAAAGTGCAAAGAAATTCAAGATGGGAACTGGTTTAAGGCCCTGGTGAGAAAACATAGGGTGGTGTTGAGCAAAGCTGAGCTCCTGAACAAACTTTATCTGGTTGGTGTCCCGATCTGGGGTACAGCCCAGAGACAGGCAGGCAGAGAGAGAGGCCCTGTGCTGTGATCTTGCCTCCACGTGGCTTTGGTGGCCATCACATCTGGGTTCTTCCACTGTTTGGGAAGCAGTGCCCAAAGTCACCTCCTAGCCTGGAGAGCTGACCTCCTTGCCAGAGAAATCCTTCCCAATCAGCTTTCCATCTGCAGAGCCCTTGTTAGCTCCCATGGTGCTGTTGTGTCTGGCCACATCCTTCCCTCCCCACAACTCGGCCTGTCTGAACTCTTGGCTGTCTTCCCATGCATCCTCGGCCTTGTGGGGCTCTGCTCTAGGGAACCTGTGGGCTGGGATGGAAATGGGGACAATTTCCTGCCTGTTCTGAAGTCCTTCTGGGGGCTGAACCTTGTCAGGCTTTCTCCCTGCTGGAGGGTTGCCTAACCCTGTTGGGGCTGGGGCATAGACCTGCCTTCCCTAGGCTATCAGATCGGATACTGGCCTTCAGCCCTATGTGTGTCCCCTCACCTTATGCGACACACTTTCCTTTCCGTCTCAGCCCCCTGTATCTGCCCTCTAGGAGATCCTCTGCTGTCCAGTTTAGTTTCCCTTGCCTCAGTTTTTCCCACTCAGTTTGGGGTGACTCAACACTGCCCCAAGGAGCTGGGTGACCTGTTAGCTGGGGTTGGGACGTGTGAAGGATGAACACTGGGGAGAGGATGTCCCAGGCCATCCTAAGAAGCATCTCTGCAGACCAAGAGGTCCAGCACAACCCCAGGGGGCACCTGGGGGTGACAGAGCAGTGGCCCTGCATGGGGTCATACCAGCTGCCACTGGGATTTCCTGTAGCCCTTCTCTCTCTTCACCACCTCTGACCCCTGGTGGTTTTGGCTCTCAAAATAGCCTCAGAGATGTTTGTCTGGTGACTGCGGTGGAGGATGGGAGCGAAGCTTCCTCTGCTGTGTTTCAAAGCTGCTCATGGTTGCTCTCCCCAGGCCAGCTATGCCCAGTGGGACACTGGCAGCCCCAGGGTGGGGGGAGCCATCTGCCAGCTTAAGGGATCTTGAAGGCTTTCCAAGGGCCTTGTTAGTGTGGGGATAGTAAAACCCCATTGCCTGATGGCCTGGTGACAAAGGCCATTGGAGCCTGTCAAGGGCTTTGCCTACTGGTCCACCATGCAGGCATGGGCATGAAACCCAGAGCTCTTGCACTGAGACCTGTCCTACAGCCACCCTTATCCAGGCAATCCGGGGAGGGTTTTGTGGCAATAATGGCTCTCCTGTGCCAGCATGGGCACGTCGCCACATCAGATGCTGGTTACCACCCTGCTGTCCCGGCATTGGTACAGGATTTGGCCCTGCTGATCCCCATCCTGTGACTCTCCTCCTGGGAGCAGGCTGTCAGAGCACAGTTTAAAACCTCGGGGAGCCTATTTGCACCCGGGGCGACCAGGGACAGATTAGCCTGATCTGCTCTGCTGGCCAGGAGCCTGCAGTCCTTGGGTGACCCTGCTTACTGCACTGGGACGTGGGTGTGAGAGGGTGATATGTGGCACTGAGTGGTGGTGGCAGGGGGACAGATGGGCAGGGATGTCCCTCCACCCCAGGGTGAGAGAGGATGCTGCAGGGTCAAGATATGAATGGGAGCATCCTCTCTCAGCTCTGGGTCCTCAGGGTTTTCCGTGCTTGTCCAGCCCTCCCTGGTCCCCCTTGTCCCCTTTCAACCCGGCAGAGGTGACCTCAGGGAGCTATGGTGGGAGAGGGGCTCCATTGGCTCCCATGTGTGAGCAAGGAAGGCTGGGGGAATGCATAGTTCCTGGGTGCCTGCTCAGGCTCTGGGGACAGGGCTCTGAAAATGTCCTGGTTCCCACACAGCTGCTTGTGTGGGCCAGGGACAGGACAGGGTCAGGCAGCTGGAACCAACCCAGACTGCAGCTCAGAGCTTTGCGGAGCAGATGGGTACATGTATGCATGCCTGTGCACACGTATGCACACATGCACCATTCCTTATGGGCATCCTGTCCTAGCTGGGTACCCATGCATGTAGGTCAGAGCTTGGCTGTGCATCGTCTCCTATCTGCATGCACATGTTTGTGCATTCTCTCCTACACTTGTATGCACACCAGGTCTCCTGGTCAGCCTTGCCTAAGCACACATGTGTGCACGTATGTGTGAACACACGCGCACCCCCAGCTGTGCGCCCTGTCCTCCTGGCTCTCAGGACTGCAGCAGCAGGATGGCAGAGGGCAGCTCCTCTCAGTCCCACTGTGCTGGGCTCTAGCAGCCTCCTGCTTACTACTACTCACCCCACACCTGCTTCCACTCTGCTCAGCTCTACAATGAGGAGATCCTGGACCTGTTTGACAGTGCCCGCGACCCTGATGCACGCCACCGCAAATCCAACATCAAAATCCATGAGGATGCCAGCGGGAGCATCTACACCACGGGGGTCACGTCGCGCCTCATCAGCTCGCAGGATGAGGTAGGTGCAGGATGGGGCAGACATGGAGGAGGGATGGCAGCTGGGTGCCCACCAGCCAGGGATGTGCTACATGGGGACAGCCAGGCAAGGGGGGTATCTCACCCAGGATGGGACAGAGCAGCCCTGAGGTGAGGCAGGGAGAGGTCAGCATGCTCGCTGGGCTGCAGCAGGGTGCTCTCCTGACTCCCTAGAAGGGCGCTTCAAGGTTTTGTTCTTCCCTGCCCCATGTTGTTACAGCTGATCCAGTGCCTAAAACAGGGGGCTCTTTCCCGCACCACCGCCAGCACCCAGATGAATGTGCAGAGCTCCCGGTCCCATGCCATCTTCACCATTCATCTATGCCAGATGAGAGTGTGCACCCGCCCGGAGCTGGTGAGATGTGCTCCTGCCTCATGGCTGGGCTGTTCCTGGATCTGATACCCAGGCAATGTGTGTGGGTCCCTTGGAGAGGGGAGAGGGTTTGAAGTCTTGAAAAGAGAGGCAGGGCTTTATCTTTCTTCTTTCCAGTCATAGCCAGGGTTAGCATTTAATGGGAGCTGAGGTCTGCCCTGGAGCAGCCCCATCCAAGGCAGGGATGGTCTGGCCCAAGGGATGGCCCAGAGCAAGCCGCTGTTGGGATCCTCTCCCCCATCCTTGAGGGGCTGGATGCAGAGGGTGAATGCTCAGGCTTTTCCTGATGTCTGAGTGCACCCAAGGGGGCTGCTTCCTGCTCTGGCTCTGTGGTGGTGACCCTCTCCATCTGTGCCTGGCCGCAGGTGAATGGGGAGGTGAACAGCCTCCTGGACGGAGCCCAGCCCACCACCGAGTACGAGACCCTCACGGCCAAGTTTCACTTTGTAGACCTGGCTGGCTCAGAGAGGCTGAAGCGAACAGGTGCTACTGGCGAGAGAGCGAAGGAAGGCATCTCCATCAACTGTGGACTGGTATGGCCTTGGACACCGGTGTGCAAAGGCAGGGGGGAGGCAGGGCCTGCCTGGGGGAGCCTGGGATACCTTTGGGTCCTGCTTGGAGCTGCTCTGGGCTGTTGAGGTTGCTGCTGTCTCTGCTGGGGTTTATGCTACCTGGTCCTGTAGGCAGGAATATGCACAATCCAAAATACCAGTGGTGAGGGCACAGCTCTGCTGCTGAGGGCAGGACTATGGGGAGGGATACAGCTGGGCACAAGGGTGCAAGTCCCCAAAAGGTCAAGGTCTGCTAACTTGAGCTTAAAAAAAACTCCAGGGCTCGATGCTGCTCCTCGGTGCATGTGGGAGAGAGGCACAGCCCAGGGAAGGCGGGGCGAATGCTGAGACTGGCAAGGGAAGTCCCGTGCCTCCACCTCTTGCACCCCAAACCTGTGCTGCAGCACATGCCCCAGGCCTGATGTCCTGGCTACATGACAGCTGTATTCTCATTAGGAGCTGAACTTGGCGGGGGGGGGGGCTTTCCTTTGTGTTGGTAGCTGGCCTTGGGGAATGTCATTAGTGCCCTCGGAGACCAGAGCAAGAAAGTTGTGCACGTGCCCTACCGTGACTCCAAGCTCACCCGCCTGCTGCAGGATTCCCTTGGGGGCAACAGGTAAGAGGGTCCCAGGCTGGGGCTGAGCCCTGGGAGAGGACTGCAGGGGCTGTCCCCCTGCAAATAGGGCCGAGGGTCTATGGAGCCACATGGGAGCTATTTCAGGACTCAAATGCCTCATGGATTGCCCGGTAGGGAGGGGATGCCTCCTGGCAGGCAGTGCATAACTTTGCAAATGTAAAGAACTTGGCTCCTCATGAGTCCCAGGCACAATTAGCCAGCTTTGGCATAATTAGCTGGTGCAAAACACTCTGAAGCTCTTGCAGACCTAGGACTTGGCAGGTGGTGTTGCCCAGCATGGGATGGATTGAATTCCCTGCCTGCTCTGGGGGTACTTCTCTGAAGAGCCCATTCTTCCCCAGCAGTCCTGGCATGTGTGGGCTGGCAGGAGGAGTTGGATTTGCTCAGTGCTGTGTGATGTGTTGCTTGTGGGGTGTTGCCAGTGCTCTGGGTCTAGAGGGACTGAACCCAGTTTATACCTTGGTTATAAAACACAGAAGGGCCTAGTATGGGTGTCTGGGGGCATGTGGCCTGTGCTGGGTCCCAGGTTTCCAGGTGCTGAGTTGGTGCAGGGTGGGGGAAACTGTCCTTTCACCCTGACCTTCACCTCCCCAAGCCAAACCATCATGATTGCCTGCGTGAGCCCATCTGACCGGGACTTCATGGAGACCCTGAACACGCTCAAGTATGCTAACCGGGCTCGCAACATCAAGAACAAGGTGGTGGTGAACCAGGACAAGACAAGTCAACAGATCAGTGCCCTGCGGGCCGAGATTGCCCGCCTGCAGATGGAGCTGATGGAGTACAAGGCGGTGAGTGGCCGAGTGAGCCTGCAGAGGTGGGATGGAGGCAGGAGCAGAAAGCCTCTTCCTCCTGTTTGAATTAGGCTGGTTTCAGCAAGAAAGACCCTCCTGCCTACTATGCTCTGCCCCTGTTGATGGGGGTAATTGCTAAGTGAGATCAGGAAGCTTAAGAGATGGGGGCTTAGCTCCTTCCTGCCCTGCCACAGGCAGGACCTTGGGCAAGTCTCTTGGGGATGCTAAGGCAGGGAGAAGCCTTGAAGCATCTCTCACCCTCCGCCTGTTTAACTCAGGCCTTCCTGGTCCTTAGATTTGTCCCTGCCCCTGCTTTGGTGGCTGGGGCTGCCTCCAGGGATGCAGCAGTGGGTCCCCATGTCCCAGCTTGCCCTGCACTCAGGGACTCCCCTCCTGTTCTCACAGGGCAAGCGGGTCATTGGGGAGGATGGCTCGGAGAGATACAGTGACCTTTTCCACGAGAACGCCATGCTGCAGAAGGAGAACAGCACCCTGCGCATGCGGGTGAAGGCCATGCAGGAGGCCATCGATGCTATCAACAGCAGGGTCACCCACCTCATGAGCCAGGAGGCCAATCTGATGCTGGCCAAGGCAGGTGAGGCTGGGCTAGAGCGTGACATGGTGGGTCAGCCCAGTGAGCATAGCTGGGATGGGTGCTGTGACACAGCCCATGTCTTGCCTTGATCCACCTGCACCTCTGCTCCTCCAGGTGACGGTAATGAAGCCATTGGCACCCTCATCCAGAACTACATCCGGGAGATTGAAGAGCTGAGGTGAGCTGGGCACTGTGGCTGGTGAGTTACCTGGGTCCCCGGGCTGGTGGGTGCCATGGTGTGGCCTGAGCCTAGGTGTGGCTTACAGCTCCGTGCCTCCAGCATCACCGGGGTGAGTTGTAAGCCCTGATGGAGTAGCAGCTGACTACACTGCTGCTACACTGGGGCTGTACAAGTCCCAGCCTTGGTGCCAGGCAGTGCTTTGGCCATTGTCATCCTTTGTGTGGCTGTTGATGGAGGGCGAGATCCTGCGGGGAGTGCCTGGTGTCTCCCAGGGACTGCTGGCCCCCCCCAAAGCTGGGTCCATCCCAGTGTCTTGCATGGTCCTGGGACCCTGTCTTGCAGCATCCTGACCATCTGACCCAACAAAAACGGGAATGGCTTTGTGGTGACTCTGTCCCTTGCTCACACCATCCTAAAACCAGGCAAGATCCCCTCCTCTGGGGACAGTGGGATGTCCCCTCTTTGACCACATGCAATCTCCAATCCCTAGGACGAAGCTTTTGGAGAGCGAGTCCATGAATGAATCTCTGCGTCGCAGCCTCTCACGTGTCTCTGCCCGGCCCCCCTACTCCATGGGCTCATCCCCAGCATCTGGCTTGGCTGGCCTGTGCAGCCCTGCTGCTCCGGTGGAGACAGAGGCCTCTGATGTCCTCCGACGGGCCAAGCAGGACCTGGAGCGCCTGAAAAAGAAAGAGAGGAGGCAGCGGAGGAAAAGGTGAAGGCAGCTGCTGTGCGATGTTGGGAAGGGGGAGGCTGCGTGTCAGTTCCTGTCTGTCCTTGTGGGGTCAGGTATCCTGCTTCCTCAATCCATGCTAAAGCCAGAGCACCGAGACAGAACCCAGACGCCTGGGTTCCCCTCCCAGTGCTGCCTTGCCCTTGGTCTCCTTTTCATCCACTGCAAGATCCTGGAGGCTGTTTTCCCCAAAGGGTCTAAAAGCAGGAGGTGAGGGGGGCCCTGGCAGGACCCATCCCTGGGCTCCCCCATGCTGGGACTCACAAGCACCCCTCTGCTCTCCCCCAGCCCAGAGAAGGAAGCATTTAAGAAGCGGCAGAAGCTGCAGCAGGACAATGGGGAGGAGACGGATGAGAACGAGGTGGAAGAGGTGACGGGCTTTGTCCTCATACCGAGGGGGGTGTTCGGGTGTGGACCATTGTCATCGCCCCATGTGGGAGAGGGACCAAGCTCAGCCTGGCCCTGCAAAGCAGGCTGGAGGGGTCACGGAGCCGAGGATTCCATGCCAGAGTAGGGGGGAGCCAGATGCTCCCCAGTCAGCCCCGCTGTGGAGCGAGGAGCCCACATCTTTTTGGGCCTGGTTTCAATAAGCGTAGGTGAAGGGGGGTTGGGCAATGCAGTGCTATTCAGCTGAGAGGGGTTGGATGCAAGGATGGATGGGGCACAGAGCTGCTCGACAGCGTATGCTGGGGGTCCAGAAATGGTGCTGCAGCCCCTGGGCATCCTGTGTAGGAGGCTGAGTCCCGCTGTGGGGGCTACAGCCCATCACTATGGGGTGAGCTCAGGTTTGCAGGATGGAAGAGCTGCAGAGAGAAGGGCAGGGCCATGTTGCAAGCTGAGGTTAGGCACTTGTCTCTTAGGAGGAAGAGGAACAGGATGAGAGTGGCTGTGAGGAAGAAGATGGACATGAAGATGAGGATGAGGACTCAGCCAGTGAAGAGAGCCTGGTGGACTCAGACTCGGATGCAGAGGAGAAGGGTAAAGTGCGGAGCCATGCATGCAGCCTAGGGTATGGGGGTGCATTTGCTGGTGTCTCCTGGTGCTAAGCTCTGGTCCTGGGAAGGGAAGGTCTGCTGGGATGCCCCAGCCGTGTCTCCTCTGGGGGTCTTGGAAGAGCACCAGAGTTGCTGCAGGGAGTCTCCAACACTCTCTGCAGTGCTGCCGCTCCCCAGCGATGTAGGTTCCCATCAGCTCCCTCTGCCCTCTCCTTGTGCTGTGGTTCAGTGGGGCTGTGGGAGCCATGCTCCCCCATCCCTCCCAGCCTGACTGTCCCCCACTGGCCTCCAGCCGTGAATTTCCAGGCCGACCTGGCGGATCTGACTTGCGAGATAGAGATCAAGCAGAAGCTGATTGATGAGCTGGAGAACAGCCAGCGGCGCCTGCAGACCCTGAAGCACCAGTACGAGGAGAAGCTGATCCTGCTGCAGAACAAGATTCGGGACACACAGCTGGAGCGGGACCGGGTCCTGCAGAACCTCAGTGAGAACCGCCTCACCTGTGGGATCCCATCCCCGTAGCATCAGGCCCCAGTCCCTGCTCTTGCCCAGCTGACTCAGAGCCAAAGCATCCACTCCCTGCACGCAACACTGGCTCTGGTAGAGCTTTGCTGTCCTCCTGCCTCTGCTTGAGCCCCTGGGACCCCCAAGACCCTGCTTGTTTTGCCATGGGAGCAGGACTAGTCTGGCTCCTGACCCCAGCTGATGCTGGAGAGGTGGCTGGAAAGGATGGTGAGGCAAAGCCTCCTCTAGCCTTGCACACTGCTTCATGAGATGTGGGAACACTTGGGGAAACTGAGGTGCTGAGGGGCACATGAAGAGCCCAAAGACCTAGTGGTATAGCTGATCTCTGGGCTCAGCAGGACAGGATCACCCATGCACATGGCTGCAGGTCTAGGTCTGCAGCTCCTCTCCACCCAGTGACTCTGCTGTAACCCCCTGTCCCCACCCTGTGCTGAGCCCTAACCCATCTCTTCTAGCGGGTGCCCCGAGACAGACCTGAACCTGTGATGGGGCCAGAGCAGAGGGGTGAGGGAAGGGTCTGGCAGGATGGGGAGGGAGCAGTGCCCGGTGCCTCCAGGCAGTGTGTGTAGGTGCAGGAGGATCCCAGGGTGTGTGGCCATCACAAGCCCTCTCCTCGTTCCCCCAGGCACCATGGAGTGCTACACAGAGGAGAAAGCCAACAAGATCAAAGCAGACTACGAGAAGCGGCTGAAGGAGATGAACCGGGACCTGCAGAAGCTCCAGGCAGCCCAGAAGGAGCATGCTCGCCTGCTCAAGAACCAGTCCCGCTACGAGCGGGAGCTGAGGAAGCTGCAGGCGGAGGTGGCTGAGATGAAGAAGGCAAAGGTACCTGGACATGCCAGGGCAGGGAGCGCATCCCCTGGTCAAGTCTGGCTCTCTGCTCAGAAGCAATGTTTTCCACTCCTGGTGGCAAGTGCAGGACATCTGTCTGTCTGGTGGGTGGGTGCCCTGGGACAGTCAGGTGCCTGCACCGACACATGGTTCCTTCCCGTTCCAGGTTGCGCTGATGAAGCAGATGCGAGAGGAGCAGCAGCGGAGGCGGCTGGCAGAGACAAAGAGGAATCGGGAGATCGCGCAGCTCAAGAAGGAGCAGCGCCGGCAGGAGGTGAGAGCTCAGCCCACCTGCGTGCTGCTGGGTGTCCCTGTGTGGGGGGGACTGGGCTGGCCGGGGGTGGATGTTTGTCCTGCTCTGGCACTCTGAGGTGCTCATAAGTACCAGTCGGTGAGGCTTCGGGCCATGCTGCATCCATGGCCTCGCCAGGGGCTGCACAGCCGCAGCAGAACACATCTGGCTGAATTGCTCCCAAGGGCCTCCTGGAGCTCCTAGTGTGGTTGTGGGAGGTGCTGTGAGCTCCCCGCCATGCTCAGGGCGCAGTGTGTCATCAGGGTCAGCCTTAAGGCTGGAAACTTGCTCGCTGTTAAAATCAGGAGTGAGACTGTTCATGCCAAAGTAACTGCTCCAAGCTTTGGTGGTGGGAGCCCCGGGACTGCAACCATCACTGGGTAGGACCCCAGTGGTCTGTTTCTCTCCCGTGCAGTTTCAGATCCGGGCTCTGGAGTCTCAGAAGCGGCAGCAGGAAATAGTGCTGCGGAGGAAAACCCAGGAGGTGAGGTGGGGGGGGTTCCTTCACATAGCCCCCAGCCCCCATGGAGGTCCTGGCCCCAGCGCTTGGCTCAGAGACACCCTGTCCTCCAGACAGTGCCAACCCTGGGAGCGGGTTTCCCAAAAGGGTGGGAGGATTTTTATGGCTCAGTAACCAGGTGGGAGATGGTTACAGAGGCAGAGGAATTACCCATCTCCCAGGGCAGCTGAGCCCGGTGACAGGGGATGGGCTACAAGGGAGAAGGGAGAAACCCATGAAGCACAAAGGGTCCTGGGGCTTTGGGTCTCCAGGGCTGCTGCTCTTGGTCCTGCGGGGCCCTGGGGGAGACGGCAACAGGTTTGGGCTGGGGACGCCCATCTGACACCCTCTCCTGCGCAGGTCTCAGCGCTGCGCCGTCTTGCCAAGCCCATGTCAGACCGGGTCGCAGGCAGGGCAAGCCAGAAGCCGGCCATGCTGGACTCGGGTGCGGAGGTCTCGGCCAGCACCACCTCTTCCGAGCCTGAGTCTGGCGCTCGCTCCGTCTCCAGCATTGTGCGCCAGTGGAACAGGAAAATCAACAACTTTCTGGGAGACCCTCCATCCTCCGTGAACGGGGCTCGGCCCGCCAGGTCAGGGCAGGGGCTGTGTGGATGGATGATAAGGCATCCCAGGACTCCCATGTGTGGCTTTTGGCTGGCGGCAGAGGTTGAAGGCCAGCTTCTTACTGTGCATTTGGCCCGTTTTAAACCACTGACGCAGTGACAGGCTGTGCTGGCAGCGTGTGACTGACTGTCACCTGGGCTAAGCCCAGTGCTGGCCTTCCATGAGCATTAAATGCCATGGTACAGCCCCTGCTGGGCTCATCTCTCTCTTTGCTAAGGGGTGATGGAAAAGTTGGGCAATCCAGAAATGATGCAGATGCCTCCTCTGCTCCTGGCCAGCCAGAGCCCAGGCATCCTTTTGGGGCAAGCACAGCTTTCCAGGCATGGTGCGGCTGGTCGCCCATGTGCCTCTTCTCCCCTCTGGCTGTAGGAAGAAATTCCCCAAGAAGGGGGCGAGCCAGACCTTCAGCAAAGCCGCCCGCCTCAAGTGGCAGTCACTGGAGCGGCGCATCTTCGACATCGTGATGCAGAGGATGACCATTGTCAACCTGGAGGCTGACATGGAGCGGCTCATCAAGGTGACAATGGTGCTTGGGACAGAGAGGGCTGTGTGCTGGGTGCGGGGCAGGGGGACAGCCATGCTGACAGTACCAATGCCCCTCCTTTTTCCCCCAGAAACGCGAGGAGCTGGCACTGCTGCAGGAAGCATTGCTGGGCAAGAGGATGAAACTGCAGGCAGAGACCCCCAAGGAGCAGAAAGGGCTACAGGAGCTGAATGAGGAGATCGAGGTGCTGGGGGCCAACATTGACTACATCAATGACAGCATTTCTGACTGCCAGGCCACCATCATGCAGATCGAGGAGACCAAGGTGGGCGGCTGGAATGGGCCCAGCTGGCAGGGAGAGACTGGGAACAACCCTGGGAGGTGAGGGTGTCCTTGGGCACAGCCAGGCTGGGTATCCCAGAGTCCTCCCCTGAGCTGTGTCACACACTCAGTGGGGCTGCACCCACACAGTCATTTCTCATTAGGTGGCTAATTGTGGAGGGGAATGCTGCCAGGTCCTTGCATGTCCATGGACAGGCTGCTGGTGCTCCACACCCCATCACCCTGGGATTATCAGGAAGCTGCAGCCCCCAGTCCTGCCCGTGGGGCTGGCGGTCACTTACCCCATGGGAGTTTTATGGGCTGGAAACATCCCAGGGAGGATTGGCTTTTTTTCCAGCAGAAACCCTGCAGGTTTTGTGTACAGTTTTGACACTGGGCATGCCGCAGAGACACTGTGCAGCTCCCGGCTCCCCTCTAGTGGCTGCAGCCTGGGCTGGAGGCTGTGTGCTGTCCCTGGCTTGTCCCTGGCTGTCATCTAGATTGGCAGGGAAGAAGGGTCTGTTGTTAATTCACACTAGCCTTTGGATTGGTGACCTGATCTGCTGTGGATTTGGATGAGGTTGGTGTCTGCAGATTAGTGTCTAATTAAGTGTTGGCACCAGGATTTCTGTAGCAACACAGAAGCCCTTCAGGTTGTGTTGGCCATCTCCATGGCTGGATCTCCCCAGTAGCCACTTGGGCAGACTGAGGAGAGCAATTGTTGGACTGGGCAGTGCTGGCAAGGCAGTGGAGGTGCTGTGCTGGCCACAGAGCCCGTTCTGCCCATCCCACGCTGAGTGACAAGCTCCCCTACTGCATCCAACACCCGTCCCTCAACTTTCCAGGAGGAACTGGACTCCACAGACACCTCAGTGGTGATCAGCTCCTGCTCCCTGGCCGAAGCCCGGCTCCTGCTGGACAACTTCTTGAAGGCTTCCATCGACAAGGTGTGGGGCCAATTCAGGGCCTGGAGGCATGATGGGATTTCTTGCAGCTGGGGAGGGGAGCAGGGTGCCAGGGTGCAGACCTGGTGGGGGGAACTCGAGGCACCCACCTGAGGTCCGGCATGGCTGTCCTTCCCCAGGGGCTGCAGGTGGCTCAGAAGGAGGCCCAGATCCGCCTGCTGGAGGGGCGCCTGCGGCAAACAGACATGACCAGCTCCTCGCAGAACCATGCCATCCTGGATGCCCTGCGAGAGAAGGCTGAGTCACACCCCGAGCTGCAGGCCCTGATCCACAACGTCCAGCAAGGTGGGACACAGGGCTGGTGCATCCTCAGGCCAGGCACGCTGCTTGTGGGTTGAGGTGCCCACCTGTGCTAGTCCCCCAAGAAGCACCTAGACGTGTCATGGCTGGGACCAGCGTGCCCAGGGCTGCCCTGAGGGCGATGCTGGGTGGGGATGTGTGCTCTGTTCACCACACAACAGGGACAAGGACTGGGTCCCCCCCATCAACTGCCTGGGCTGCCCCCTCAGCTGCACAGTTCAGATGGGGCTCGGCACAATGGGGTCCCCTCTGCACTGCTGATGTGCTGTCTCCCTCCTGCACAGAGAACGGCTACACCAGCACGGATGAGGAGGTCTCAGAGTTCAGCCTGGCTTCAGATGGGAGGTGAGCACCCAGCCCTGGCCCTGCCTAAGCTGGAGGTAGCTGGGGAGGCCAGGGGTAGGGTGGGATAGGAAGTCTGGTGCCACCCATGGGACCTTGCAGATGGACATGGATGAATAAAGCTCCACTTAAGCTTTCCTGTGGTGCCCACCCCTTGGGGACGGGAGCAGAGATGTCGCTTAGACATCAGCAGGGAGTGAAGACTAGGTCATCCCTTGGAGAAGGGGTGCTGGGGAGCAGGGGGTGACCCAAGAAGTTTGGTGGGCCGGTGGCAACCGGCTTTCTGAAAGGAGTTTGGCACTGAAGATCTATCTTTGCTTCCTTCTTCTTGCAGCATCTCCCAGTCTTTCACCATGAAGGGCTCAGCAAGCCAGGATGATTTCAAGTTCAAGGTTAGTTGGCCTTTTCTGTCTGGCCCCATCACAGGAAATGGGAGGAGGGATGGAGGGACATGTTCAGCAATGCTTCAGGCCTCTGCTCTCTAGTCTGACCCTTGGAGAGCCATGCTTGGCATAAGGCAGTATGGCTGGTCTCTGGGTGGGGTCAGCTCTAGGCAAGGGCAAACCAAGACCTTCTGGTACTGTGGTCCTCTGAAGCACCAGAGGCTTGGGAAACATCCACCACATCGGCCAATACCCTCCAGATCTGAGTGGGCACCAGGGAGGTCCCTGTGCAGTGCTGCATCCATTGTGGGTAAAGGTGGAAGAAAGGTCCCATTGTTCTGCACAGGCTGTCACATTTGCCTAGAGTATGGAGACCCAGCACTGTGATGAGCATCCCAGCATGACACAGGGGCAACTCAACCTCTGTGGCCAGAGAGCACAAGGTTTTCCACCCCACAGCTCTCTGGCTGCTTCCACTGTCCTCCCCTTGTGCCTGAGCCCTCTGTCCTGCTCTAGGGAGAGCCCAAGCTCTCAGGGCAGATGAAGGCAGTGTCAGCTGAGTGTCTAGGACCCACGCTGGATGTCTCCACCAAGAACATCACCAAGTCCTTGGCATCCCTCATGGAGATCAAAGAGGATGGGATCAGCTTCTCCATCCGAGACCCCTATTACAAGGAGAAGGTGTCACGCACCATCAGCCTGCCCACGCGAGGAAGCACCTTGTGAGCATGGGGTGATGGGTCTTTGGGCATTGGGAGGCTCATGGAGGCATGGGCCAGCAGATGGGGAAACTGTGCCCTGGCTGTGGAGTTGCAGAGCAGTGAGGGTGAGCCCAGTCCTGCATCTATCCAGGCTTGTCTGCAGCAAGCAGTGGTGGCTTTCTCCAGCGGGACTTGGAAAGTATGTTGATATCCTTTGCAGATGGAGAGAAGGGTACTCCAGGAGGAAGGAAAGAAGCGGGGGGCATGCTCACTGCCCTGGGTTATCAGCCTTCTTGAAGGCTTCTTGTGTTGCCAAAAGCCTCCACACTCATGGGATGACTTGAGGCATCCTCTGATCTTGTGACTGACTCCAGCGCAGCCCAACTTCTCCATTTGCTCTGCTGGGGAAGGACAAGACATGGGTGTTCAGCATGGAGGGATCCCAGCAGGGGGACAGGCACCCACTGTGCTCTCTTTCACTTGCTTTAGTCCCAGGCAATCTCGTGGCTTGGACACTTCACCTCTGACAAGGAGGAAATCCTATGACCGTGGCCAACCTGCCAGGTGAGCTTGGGAGCTGGAGAAATGGTGACATGGGCAGGGAGAGGCTGGGTGGCCCAGACGAGTGGGGAGAGATGCTGGCTGGACCAGCTCTTGCTGGACCCTAGTGTGCCAGGCAGCTGCCAGGTGAGCAGTTCCCAAGTCATGTGTCCCTCTAATCCTTCCTGGCTCAGGCCTCCAGATGTTGGCTTCACGCCTCCCTCATCCCCACCCACCCGTCCACGCAACGACCGCAATGTCTTCTCTCGTCTCACGAGCAACCAGAGCCAGGGGTCTGCCTTGGATAAGTAAGTCCTGGTGGGGCGGGAGGGTCTCAGTGAGAGGGACCCATACCGTGACAACATATGGGATCCTGCGGTGGGGTGTAGGAGCACAGGACCTGGGTCGGCTCTAGCCAGCTTCCTGCCACCATTTTCACTCCCTGCTCCTCTCCATGAGGGAGCAGATGCTCTGCAAGGGCCATGCTGGACCCTTGACCTGTCCTGCCTGCCGTGTGTCCCCTCTGAGCTGGCTTTTTGCAGGAGCTCGCAGTCCTGGCCTATGTCTAAGCCCTACTTGGAGACATGGTGGTGCCAGACTTGGACCACTGGAAAAGGCTATGGAGCAGGATGGGGTGAGGTGGGATGGCACCTTGCAGGAAGCTGATGGACTGGCACCAGCCTACAAATGCTGCTGTAGCCTCCCAGCCTCCCCCTGCAGCAGGTCAGGTAGCTGCCCTTGACTTGGAGCATTGCTAGCAGCGCTGACGTTCCCTGATGGAGACCTGCTGTCTGATCCTCACATGGCCTCCTGCTCCTCTGCTCTTTCCCCTGGTTTTCCATGTGTGCTTCTCTTTCTCCCTCTCTCCCCTCCTCCTTCTCTGTCCTACACTGGCTTGGATGCAATAACAATCCTCCATCTCTGACTCCTCTGCTGCCTTTTCTAGTCTGGGTTTTCTCTCCCATAATCCTGCTAATTTTCTGCCCCTAGGTCTGATGACAGCGATTCCTCTGTCTCGGAGGTGCTGAGGTATAGACAACTTTCTATTTATTATCCCTTCCTTCTCTCCTCCTCCTCCTCTCTGTCTCACGAGTCTGTTCTCCCTTGTCCCTGCATGCTCCACCTGTACCTTGCTGCTGTCCCCCACCTCCCAGCTCATGTGTGCTGTCCCCTCTTGGCATGCCACCTCTAGTGTCTGATGCTGTCCCCTTGGTTGCGAGTTCAAACTGTTCCTGCTCTGATCAGCCCTTGGAAATGTGGTGCTGGGCTCATCTATGGGCACTGGCTGGTTTGGGGTAGCAGCATGTTCTCCTCCACCTCTGATGAATTCTTATCAGCATGACACCACCATGTCCCATCCCATTCCCGAGCTCTCCAGCAGGATGGTGTGATGCTGGGGAAGGGGGCAAGCAACCCTGCGTGCTCCCAGTGTGTCCTTGCAAGCATCTTCTAGGCAAATATCTCCAGGTGCTCCCCATACCTGGTTGTGCTTCCCTGGTGCTGGGTTGTGGGTAGATAGATCTCTTTCCCAAAGAAACCAAGTCAGATTGTGGTGCAGAGTTCAGTCTTGGGGCTAAGGTGCTCCTGGGCTTGTCCCACTGCACCTTCCTGCCTATGGAGGTTTCCCAACATGAGGGCCACCTTTCCCCCATCCTTTAGGAACATCAGCCCTCCAGCACCTGGGTGTCCCTCACATTGCCCATGCCCTGAGTTCCCACAGGCACCCAATCACTGGGGAGGTGGCACCAGACGAGTCTGCACTGCGTCACCTTGGGCAGTTGGCAGTCAGGCAGCAACAAAGTTCGTTGATAACATCTCACCCTGGGGAGCAAGGATTTCCATTTAGATTCAGTGTCACCTTGAGACTGGTAGAAACACTAGGGGTCAGGGGAGGGCTGTTTCATTTGAGTTTGTAAGTGCAGCTGCTCACTGAGAAAGAAAGATCACATGCATGTGATTTCCAAACCCAGATTAATGAGCTTGTGTTTGTCCTCATGACTAATGAAAACCTTACGTGACCTCAGGCCTGCCTTCTCCAGCCCTGTCCCTCAGTTTCCCTACTTATAAGAAAAGACTAGCACAACCCAGGGCCCCATGGCCGCACGGAGGCCGTGCTTTGGGACACCAGCTGGGAAGAGCCGTTGGTGGCCATGCACACTGGGGTGCTGGTTCTCAGCACCCCGAGCACTGCTAAAGTGGAGGGGATTGGCAGAACCTGTGTCCAGAGGGGCAGGCAGCAGGTGTCCCTCGGAGGAAGGTTTGCCAGGGATAGGTCCTCTCCTGCCCAGAGCCAGCGGTGGCTGCAGAGCTTCCATAGCAATTACAACAGGGACGCTGGGTGCAAATGCCAGTGCTGTCCTTTGTCACCCTTGTGGTCTTATGTAAAGGAGCGGGGCCCCGTCTCCAAATGTCACCAGCCACAGGCTGACAGCCTCCAAAAAAACAGGGTGCTGGATATTGGTACCCTGAAACATTTATCCCAGCAGAGCTTCAGGCTGGAGAAAGTGCAGTTTGTCCCAAAGTGACCTGAGGACCAATGAGCTGGGTCTCCTGGCTCCTTGGGTCTGTGCTGGCCAGGCATGAGAGTTTCAGCGGGAAAGCAGAGGCCACTGGGCAGCCCCCGTTTCCCGGTCTATATTGCTGGGGCAGAGGCAGTAGGCAGGGGCTACTTCTGGGGAGATTCCTGAGGTTTCCACAAAGACCTTTGCTCAGACATGCCGGGCTCAGATGGAGGGGCCCATCACGCTGCCAGGTGGTGGAAGATGCTTGGGGTGAAGGCAGCTCTTGCTTTTCCATGCCCCTGGGACTGTGTAGAATGGTGCCTTTCCACACACACCCCACCATGCTTGTTCTTTCTTTCCCATGCAAGGGGCATCATTAACCCAGTGGGTGGCACCAAGAATGCCCGGACAGCCCCGCTGCAGTGTGTCTCCATGGCAGAAGGACATACCAAGCCTGTGCTCTGCCTCGATGCCACTGATGAGCTGCTTTTCACTGGGTCTAAAGGTGCGTGATGGACAGAGAGGACATGGGGGTTGCTGGCCTGCAGATGCTATGGGAGCAGGTTGGCATGGGGGAATACATGAAGTGCTGGACACCATGGGGATGGTTCCCCCCCGGGCCTCTTTCCTGTCCTCAGCATTGAGCCTTGCCCTGCACTGCCTCGGTGCTGGGGCTGGCTGGCTCCTTTCCTCTGGCCCTGTGGGTGGGGGAAGGCAATGCTCAGAAGGGGTATTGCCCCCAGGCCACCATGCCCTTGGAGGGAGAGCCCCCCCAGCCTGACACTCTTGGGCATGTTTTTCCTTCCACAGACAGGAGCTGCAAAATGTGGAACCTGGTGACAGGCCAAGAAATTGCTTCCCTCAAGGGTCACCCAAACAATGTGGTTTCCATCAAGTACTGCAGCCATACGGGGCTGGTGTTCACTGTGTCCACATCATACATCAAAGTGTGGGACATCCGGGACTCGGCCCGGTGCATCCGCACCCTCACGTATGTGGCAGGCGGGAGCAGCTGTGGGGGACTCTGGGCATCTCTGGCTTTGCAGAAGCCAGTCCCGGACCTACTGGGACTGGGGACAGGGCCAAGTACTAGCTGCTTTAGTGCTAGTTTGCAGTGCTGCGTCCTTAGGGAACAGGGAGGTTGGGAGAGAGCTTGGGGTGAGGGGACCAGTGGGGACCTCCTGCAGCGAAAGCTCAGGGTAAAGAACTTTGAAGACATTTGCAGCTACTCCTGGGGGGGGCCAAGAGAGCCAGCAGCTCCGTAGCAGAGGCATGGCCCCCAACAGCATCGTGGCTGAGTAAATCACAGGCCCTCCAGTGCCTCGGATCTTTACGAGGAGTTTGAGGACCTGAGGGAGCATGGGACAGTTTGTAGCTGTGGTCTGCTGGTCTGGAGCAGGGCTCAAATGTTAGGAGAGTATGGCAGGCCAGGGCTACCAGCTCTCTCCAGCATAGAGCTCCTTTCTGCATCCAGCCTCAGCTCATCTACCTTGGCCTGAAGGTGCTTCTCCCTTGGTGCAGAGGCCAAATACCTCTGCCTCCCTGTGCTGACTGCCAGCACTAGCCAGCTCTTCCTGCAGGAAGCAAAGAGGAATGGGAGAAGAGCGGCCCCCAAAATGGAAACTGGAGCAGGATGCTCCATGTCATGCACACACCTGACATCCTTAGCTCCCTCTGCAAGCAGGCCACTGGCATAGGGGACAGAGATCTTGTTGATCCCATTGTGGCCAGAGAGACAGTGATACCTCTACGGCCTATCCCTAGTGTGGCACCCACCTGTGCCAGCCTGGACCACAGCCCCATGTGGTTCCTCAGTGGGGCCTCGGTGGCTCTGATCTCCACTGATCCTTCCCCATTGACATCTCTCTCCCTTAGATCTTCTGGACAGGTGATCTCTGGGGACGCGTGTGCTGGGACCACCACCCGCACTGTCACCAGTGTGCAGGGGGAGCACCAGATCAACCAGATTGCTCTCAACCCCACTGGCACTATGCTCTATGCTGCCACTGGTAATTCTGTCCGCATCTGGGAGCTGAGCAGGTGAGCGGGTAGTGCTGGAGTGGGCAGGACAGCTTACGGATGCCGAGTGGATGCTGTCTGCTCAAAGGGGCCTGAGATGACTCCCTCCCAGGGAAACTGAAAGCCTTTTTAGCAATGGAAGTTGCCTGGAATAAGGACTTTCAGGACCCTTTCCTATGGGACCCAAGGGATGATGAGCAGCAATGAAGCTACTTGGGGTGGGAGGTTTGTCCATGAGCTGGGCAGAGCTTAGGAGAAGGAGAAAGACAGGTGGGATGAGCATCAGTACTCCCCTGGTTTTGCCCTTGCCCCCCTCCCTGCCAGGTGGGCACTGACTGGTGACCCCTTGCTGCAGCCTAGGCTCTGTAGCCAGATGTTGGCATGCCCCGAGGCTGCCTTCCTCCCCCGGGGTAACTAGGAAGGGGGGGGTGTGCCTGTTCACAATCCCCCAAAGAGAACAACCCCCATTGGAGGGCTCCAGGGCTGTGGGGGTCTCTGCTGGGACAGCCCCTTGAAGGAGCTCCAGCATCCAGGAAGGAGCTGGCTGACCCATGTTATTGAACTCAGGTTGCAGCCCATCGGGAAGCTGAGTGGCCACATCGGGCCTGTGATGTGTCTCACGGTAAACCAGACAGCGAGCAACCACGACCTGGTGGTCACAGGCTCCAAAGATCACTATGTCAAGGTACTGTCTGCCTTGGAGAGCAGAACCCTGCGTCCTATACGGAAGCCCAGATGTTGGCAACCCCTAAGGTCTCTTCTCTCCTCCTGAAATCTGAGCCCAGATTCTGGTTTCACCTCTGCATGTGAGGTTTTTGCATATCTCCTTACCCAAAATGTTGCCTTTTGCTTGGTCCACAATACAAATGCACCTTTGGAAAGGGATTTGCATTTTTCTCATCCCTTGGCTTCTGTGGCTGGTACTTGCATGTTACAGCTGACCCAGATTAGCAGCTCACCCTGTTCTGCTTGATTCTCCTCCCCAATGCAGATGTTTTGCGTCTGCTCATTCACAGCTCCAACACAGCAAGAGTTTGCCCCTTCCTTTTAGGTTTTAGCAGGTTGAATTGGAGCTGGCACCAGGGGAGTGAAGAGGGATGGTGAGGTGATGTGGGAGGCAGGATCCCACTCTTCTGACAGCTGCAAGCTGTTAGCTTGGCTTGTGGAGGTGTGTGAAAGTTCACCATGAGTAAAATGCAGGAGAATGGGGGCTGTCTTTGGTGGCAAACCTCCCCTGATGGTGGCAGGCCCCCTGGAGAGACCTCAGCCCCTAAAAACCTCCACTGGCCAATGCCCACTCCCCTTTCCAGAATCACTCTGGGTGCCCTGAGCCTAGAAAACAGAGGGTGATGGCCAAGCTTTCTAAGAGAGGATCAACTCTGTTTCCAGTGTCATCTGGGGTCTCTCACCCACTGCTTTTCCCCAGGTGTTTGAGATTGCTGAGGGCATGGTGGGCAATATTGGCCCCACTCACAACTTTGAGCCCCCTCACTATGATGGCATCGAGTGCCTGGCCATCCAGGGAGACATCCTTTTCAGCGGTTCCAGGGACAACGGCATAAAGAAGTGGGATCTGGAGCAGCAGGAACTTACCCAGGTCTGGAGGGAAGCATACAGCACAGGTCCTCGGGTAACATGGGGCAGAGGAGCATTGCTGCAGGGGATCTGGGGCGACCTTTGTTCAGGGACCTGGTGCCAGTGTCCTGCACTGAGCTAACCAGGGAGGGCAATCCCATTCCTGAGAATCTGGCAGTGCATGTGTGAGGTGGCTCTGTACCCCCACAAGTTTGTGGTGTAGGGCAGTCATGATTGCCAGCTCTCCCTGGCACCCAGGCCGCAGCATCAATTGCAGTGCTGGGTGTCGTGTTCCTCTCTGAAGACAGGATTGTTGTCTCCTGCCCGGGGGAGAGACCAAACCCTGACTTTTTAATCCATCCCCTTAGCCTCCTAACTTTGCATCACTTAGGCCCACAATTCAGATCAGGCCAGGGGTGACAGTGAGGATCTGAGCGTCCCAGGTTGGGTGCATGAGGCTGCTGGTGGTGCTGCAGAAGAAGTTGGTCACAATCTCTGTTCTGTGCCCATACCTACAGCAAATCCCCAATGCCCACAAAGACTGGGTCTGTGCCCTCGCCTTCATCCCTGGCCGCCCCATGGTGCTGAGTGCTTGCCGAGGAGGCATGATCAAAGTCTGGAATGTGGACACCTTCACCCCAGTTGGGGAGATCAAAGGGCACGACAGCCCCATCAATGCCATCTGCACCAACTCAAAGCACATCTTCACTGCCTCCAGGTGAGCCCCAGGCTTCTGCTCCCCAGAGCCCCTGGGAGGTGGGACATCCATGGGTTGAACTGTCATCCCTGGGCCTGGGTGGGTTTGCGGAGAGTGGACAGGGAGCAGGAAGGGAGGGAAGGAAGGGGGGAGTCTGGCAGCTTTCTAGTCCTTCCACTCCTTCATCTCATCTTGCCCACCTTAGCCTGCCCCATGACATGGCCTGCCCAGTGCAGTGCCAAGAGCTATTCCCCCGGCCGTCCCCTGCCTGCACTCCGGTGACACCCTGGGTTATCCCCCATGCAGGGACCCCTCTCTCCTGGGGCTGGGCATCCTCTGCTGCTCTCGGGGAGCTCTTTGGCAGCAAGACTCTGATATCCTCTTTTCGACCATGTCCCTTTTCTCCCTTCCTTTTTCTCTGTCTCTCTCTGTCTCTCCTCCTCCCTACCTCCCATCTGTGCCACAGTGACTGCCGGGTAAAGTTATGGAATTACGTGCCTGGGCTCACCCCTTGCCTTCCACGACGCGTCCTTGCCATAAAGGGCCGTGCTACTAGTCTGCCTTGACCCTCCTGCTCTTTCCGACTCTCTTGCTCATGCACTCTTCTTCTGTCTTTCCTTTCCTTTTCTCTTTCTCTCCATCTCTTTCTCTGTCTGTCTTTCTCTCTGTTGCTTGCTTTTGCTCCTCTCTCTCTTTTTCTCTCTGGTCTGAGCTGCTTCTTCACGGTATGAAACTATTTTGCGTTTTTCCCCACTTGATAAATCTTTGCTAGAAGTGACTTGCCCCTTTGTCCCAGCCATACCCCTGCATTGTTTTGGTTTGCTTTTTTTTTTCCTTGACAAGTGCCCACATCTACTGCAGCAGCTTTGTGGAAGCCGTGGCCTGCCCACACCCTTGCATGGATGGTGGGGTGGGAGCCAGCAACCACCCCCAAAGCAGCCCATGCCCTGGGGAGAACAAGCACAGCAGCTCCCCGTGGTGTCACTGCTTTGACCTAGTTAGAGCTCATTCAAGGGGTTCAGGAGTCCTGTTGTCGGGGTCAGCCCTGGAGTTCACCATTTCCCTTTGTCCCCAACTGCTGCCAGTGGGGTGAGTTGGAGGCTGAGCCCCACTGGGCCTGCCTGCTCCCCAAAATGGATTGGGCAACCTCCTGCCAAGAGAAAAGGGCCTGGAAGTCTTGTGGGCTGCATGCTGCCATGGGCTGGGGGTGGGGAGCATTTCTGCTCGCAGTGCCTCTCTGCAGCATGTCTGCAGGGCTCCTGTGGGAACCCCTGGGTCACACCATCCCTGTCACCTTTGTTTCTCAGCGACTTGACAGTGAAGCTGTGGAGCGGGAGGAGGTTACCTGCGGGGTCAAACTAAGAACTGCATAAAGACTGGAAGACATGACAGGAGGGTGAATGTCAGGGTACCTCTCCCTCGCTATCAAGACCCGGTCACCTACAGGAGCCCATGGATAGGGATTTCTTTGTGCCTGACCCAACGGGGTGGACGATGTCCCATATGGTACTTTGAGCACTGCCAGCCCCTGTGAGGAGGCAGCTCTGTGGGTCACAGTCAGCTCCACCTTCCCTCCTACTGAGGTTTCTTGATGGTTTTCCGGTGACCAGGAAATGTTTCATCTGTCTCCTCATTCACCCTGCTGTAATGCCTGCTGGGACTTCCAGGGGTCAGAGCTCCTTGACTCCTTCTCAAAGACACCCAATTCCCTCCTGCCACCATGATCTGCTGCTTCTGTTCCTGTTGGCTCCGGGGCTGGTTCCTGTAGGAGTCTTTCTCCACTCCATGGCCATGAGGACATTTGGTGTCTGCTGGCCAGGACCACAGCATAGAGGGGCTGTTTCTTTGAAGATGTTACTCGTGGGACAGCCTCTCTGCTGTTGGGGGTCTGCAGAAGGATTTCCAGGTAGTCCTATCGTTTCCCATCCTCCATCTACCTGTCCCCAGCGGTTGGAGCTGTGCACCTCTGAGCTCCTTTGCCCTGTCCCGGATCTGGAGACATGGCAAGCCTGGGAAGATCTTCGTCATACAACTTCCAGACAAACCCGCTGCAGTTCCCTTCGATGTTCTCCAAACCCCAGTCATAAACTCAACTGACCCATGGCTCTCGGGCTCTTCCCCATGTGCCCACCCTGCTCTGCAGTGGGGAAGGGAAGGGCTGGTTAGCCCTGCTCTTGACACCTTGGCCCTCAGCAGGGGTTTTGTAGTGGGTTCCTGCAGCACATTAGCCCCCTTGAGATGGAGAAACGAAGCAAGAATGGAGGTTACAGGGCAAAGAAGCCAAGGCTGGATTTGTCACCCCCACCCCTGTGGGCCCATCTTGTTCTGCCATCACTGGGAGCTGGAGGCTGTAAATCCTTCCCCCAGGCTCTGCTCTCAGCCCTCTACCTGGGAGGGGGGCTAGCTCAGGTTTGGCCTGTCATCCCCTGTGGATCCAGGAGCCAGAGAGAGCCCAGCAAGGCATGGAGCAGCTGGAGGACAGGCCAGGTTGGAGTCAGCTGTGCCGGGAGCAGGGTGAGGAAGGGGTTGCACACACTGGTCTTGCACAAGTCCCCTGATTCACCCAATGCTTGAAGGACAATCCTGCAGTGGATAATCTTGCACAGTCCGATCTCCATGAAAGGCTGGGAGCTCTATCCAGGAGTGTTTCCCCAGGCACTCAGCTTCTCCAGGCTCCCTCCTCCCTCTCTCCTGTTCAAGGGGCTGGCAAGGCCCTGGTCTCACACTGGAGCTTTTCTCCATCTCTGCTGTGGCCTGCCGGACCATCCCCTGCTCTGTCCTGCCCTGGGCCGGGCAGGGCTTCTCACAGGATGGCCAAGGAGACCCTGGGATTGGTGCTCTTGCCTCACATGCTCTTAGTTCCCCTCTGTCACAGAAGCAGCAGCGTTTGAACTCAAATTTAAGGATTTCTCCACATGATCCTACCAGCACTGAACTGGGATCTCAGAGGTCAGGGGCTCCAGGACCTGCCCCATAAAGCACAGACTGTTTTCCCTGTGCTTTCTCCAACCATGGTGACTCATGGACCAGCCCCAGTTCATTTGCCACCAGCCCTTGTTAAAACCATTCTGGGTGGAGCATGGTAATTCCTCCACATCCTGAAAGACAGGAGCATCTCCATTGATTTGATGGAGGGGTTTGCCTTTTGAGGGGGTGGGGGGGGAACCCATTCTACTGCCTTGCCTTGGTGGAGGGCGTGATGGCGTGCGTGGGTGTGACCCTGCCCAGGACTGTGACCAGTCCCTTGCGATTGTGGCCGAGCCCTGCACAGGCCTGGACTGGTGGCTGCATCGAGGCAAGGAGCCCTCCTGCTGTGGCTGGTGGAGAAGTGGTGCCAGTGCTGCCAGCACTGGGCTCTGCACCCTGCGGGACTGGAGGGGGCAAAAAAAAAAAGCATGGGGGCACCCTGATGCACAGATGGGGGCTGGAGGAGGTGTTGCCCTCCAAGCCTGTCTTGGAGAGGGTTTCCCTGCTCATTCCTCAGCCAGTTTAGCCTTTGCTTAGCTGGGTGTGTGTGGGGGAGTGTGTGTTTGTCTGTAGCCAGATGCACCGTGTGCATCGGTGTCTGCACAAGATCTGCCAGTGCCCAACATGAAACCTCTCGCTGCTCCCTCCTGAAGTCAGTGAAGGGACCTGCTCTTGTGGAGCTTGGGGTCAGACTACCTTGCCTTTCACTGCCAGTTTCTTCCTGTGTGTAGGCTGCAAGTGCCTGCTTCATTTCCCAGGGCTGAGTGGCCAATTCTGGATGATGCTGAGCACCCACCTCACTGCTACGTCCAGCAGCATTTTGAGGGGGCTTCAAGGTTTTTGCAGCCTGCAGGTGGAGTGAGCTGGGTACTGCGGCACAGCAGCAAGTGTCCGGAAAGGGGGGGTCTTTGAAGTGAGTGGTGACTGTGATCCCATAGCATTGTGTGTGTGTACGTCTTAGTATCTGTGTGGGTTGGTATTTCCCATGCAAGAAAGAGTTTCTTGGGTGTTGATCTGGTTTAGCTACCTCATGGTGCAAGCTGGGTGCTGTCGTCATTGGGTTTCGTTTTGGGGATAGGGTGGGGAGTTTGTGTTTTTAGTCTTTTCTTCTCTTAATTATTGTTATTGTTATGGTTTTGACACTTGAATTCGTCCTGGGGACATGTGGCCTCACCCCCACCTCACTGCATGTCTGAGCCGCCCCTTGTGTTCCCCTTCCTGCCTTTTCCTGCGCAGCACAGCAGGACCAGCATCCTGCTCTCCCCTGTGTTCCCAGCTCCCACCTTTGTAGTGGGATCCCCCAACTGAGTCACAACACTGAGATTTTGCTCCTGCTGCTGGTGGGGTGCTTGGACTGAAGCTTGGTGTTGTTGCTGTCAGTTATTGGGTTGATTTGCAGTCTGGAAGTGGTCCCTCTTGTCCCTTTGAAGGATGGAAAGGGACCTCTGAGAGGCTCAGCTCAGCCTGTATTCCTGCCTCTGGTCTCTCAGATACTCTCTGTGGATGCAATGAAGCTCTTATTGTCTGGGAAATGTCCATGCAAAGCACACTGCTGGAATGGGCTGGTCCTAGTCCCAATTTCCCAGAGCCTGCTGTAATCTGGTGGCAGCCTCAAGCAGCGGGAACTAGTGCTGTAAAAGCCTTTGTCCAGGATGGAGGCGATGTGTGAGAGAAGCTGATTCTTGTGTGTGATGTTTGATTTTTTTCATCCCCAAAATATAGTTGAATCTACATCCTGTCCCAGGCACTGAACATAAACCCGGGTAGCCCTGGAGCCCCCAGATTACCCCCTACTTGGGGCTGGGGAGCCAACACAGGGTTGTATTCCACTCCCCTAGCACAATGGGGTTTGGGAAGGGGCGCAGCTCTGAGCCACACTGTTGGGTTGGGGGGGGGGGCAGGTTCCCCCAAGCACTAAAGCACAAAGTCCTAACATGCAGGTGGTCTAGCAAGAGTGGCCCCTTGGATTCTGGTCCTTCAGAGCTCAGACTGGGGCCACGGGCTTGGACAACCAAGGTGGAGGTGGGTTGAGGGATGATGGTGAGGGCTGTTTGCCTGCCAGGGGAAGCAGGTGAGGTGTTTAATCCTTTTGCACTGTGCTGGGGTGCTCCCCTGGGGCTCAGGACTTGCACTGCTGCATAGCTTAAAAGTCCCTTCTTGTGGTGTCTGAGCCCCTGTAATAGCCCCTCTATTGCAGGGACATTTTGGAGCTGCCTTCACACCATGCACCTCGTTTTGCTTCACCCTTGGGTGCCTTGGTTTGCACCAAGGGTGTGATGATACCTGCAGTGCAGGGAAGTCCTTCCCTTCATCAAATCTCTGGGTGATGCTTTTGTCCCAGGCCCTGACTCTTGCTCTGTGGGTCTCTTCCCTCCAGCACACAGGAGCCAGCTCCAGCCTCTGCTGAGGGTGTAGTGCTGGCCCAGAGCTGAGCTTTGCACACAAGGGGTGGAGATGACTCAGGAGCCCAAAAGCACTGTGAGCCCACCCAGGGAGCCTGGACACTGCCCCTTCCCTGGCACCTATACTCTTACAGCACAAAATGCCAGGCTGGTGGTGCATCTCTCAGTCTGGCCAGCTGTGAGGAGCTGGAGCACCAGAGTCCTGTCCCCCCAAGTACATTGGTCCTCCCCAGCACCTCTGAGCACAGCTGCTTTGGGGTCACAGATACTGCCTCCTGCCTTGGTGCTGCAGAACCAGTGCCTGCTCCCCAGGATGCTCTCCTAGTGTCCCTATCCCAGTCGTTCCCCTGCCCCATGCTGGATGGGGTCCAGGTACAATCCCTGCAGAGCACAGGGCTCCCACTTGCTTTTCAGCAAGCTCACTGGGGCTTTACTCTGTACTGCAGGCTGCATGCCCTTTCTGAGCCTCCTTCACCTTCCTGGGGAGGGAATGGGACCCCTGGTCCCTCCATGTGCTGCATGGTGCTCCAGCTGTAAGTGGGAGGGAGCCCAGCACAGCCCTGATCCCCCAGGCCCTGGCCTGGCCTCCTGAGCCTCACCCCCAGAAAAGCACAGCCCTGCACCTTTCTCCTTCCCCCAGGGGCTTGTCCCCTCAACCATAACAGCTCTGCCCCTGGTACCTGCCAGCTGTTCTGCACGCCCATGTCCTGGGACCACCCACTACCCTCCGGTCCAGCCCTGTGACAGGGTTTCAGCAGCTGCAGTGTTGTGGCGCCTGCTCTGTCACCCCTTCCCGCTGCACAAGTATGGCAAATAGCAGGTGCCTTTTCTTGCTTGGAGCTGTTTTCTAGAGGCCAACTCTTGTGAAGGCTTTTTTTCTCTGCTGGGTCGTGCAGCCCAGCCCAGCAGTCTGAGTTTGTCAAAGGACAAGGTGTGTACATATATTTTATACCTTGATGTGTTCCTGTAAATAGTGTAAGTTATTTCGGTCTCATGATGTACATGTTTTTTCAATGGCTGTGTTTGTTCCTTGCCTCTTTATCTTCACAAATAAAACATACTGAGATGAAGTGAGGGAGCAGAGATGGCTTTGAAGAGGGGAAGAGCACAGCCAGGAACTACCCATCCCATCCTGAAGCACCTGGCAGAGGGGCTGGGGGAAAGGCTGGGTGACCTGACGCTGCTACAGCCCTTCTGGTCCTACCGTGTGTTGTGAGAAGGTGACCTGCAGCCTTACAGGCACTGAGTCCTCCAGCAGACAGGGCAGATGTTTGCACTGGGGGAGACTTAAGGGGCTGAGGTGGAGGAAGCACAGACTCGCCCGGGCTGGCTCTGCCCCTCTCCTGGGGAGGAGGGGGGGGAAGGGGCCCAAGCGGGCAGTCCTAAGCCAGAGTGGCAGCCACCCCCCGCAGAAGTCAGAGCATCCCCAACCCTGCAGCATGGCATCACCCCCCGGGGTTCCCCCAGCTGGCGGGGCCCAGGGACTGCAGAAAGGTGCTGTGGGGCAGGGGCTGGGTGCCTCCTGCCCGCGGTGGTTGCCCACACCCCTGCCCGGTCGCCCGCCCCTCGGGGCAGGCGGCTCTCCTGGGGCCGGGGTCCTGGGGGACACGGGCTTTCTGGGGACACTGGGCGCCCGCCCATCCCATGCTGGGGAGCGGCCCGGCTGGCCGAGGGGAGCGGTGGCCTTGGGGACAGCCGACAGGTGGCAGCCCCGGCTGCGGGACCGCCGTGCCCGGGGCTCGGCAGAGCGGCTGGAGCTGGGGGGCAGCAGGGTCCCCTCCCGGGCTGCCCAGGTGGGGATGCTGGGGTGGGGGATGCAGGTGGGGCGGAGGTGACCCCAGTGCCAGCGTGTGGTGCCCGCTGAGCGCCCAGAAGTGACCGATGCTGGCACCAGCCTGTGCCCCCCAAGACATTGGGCAGCCAACCTGCCCCAGCCCCAGGTGCTGTGGGGCGGGGAGGGCGGGCAGCGAGCTGTAGCCCCAACTCCACAGGGCTATGCCTCAGCCTCAGCAACCTCCACTTTCTCTTTCCCGGCCAGCCAGCACTGGTTAAACTGGTCGGACGGAGCAGCTGAGCGGAGAGCCGCCAGCCACGGGCTGTGCCCGCACCGACCACCCCGGATGCGGTTCCTCCTGGCACACAGCCCGCTCCCCGCGTGGGGTACCCCACACCCTGCTGCCACCGCAGGGTGAGAGCTGGGGCCCCCCGGCCCTGGGCTCAAAACACACCTTGCAGCGCTTGTCCTGAGACCGGTGCCAGTCTGGCCCTAACAGTGTCTCTGGAGAGCTGGCAGCGCCCAGAGCCATATCAGTCTCCAGCACTGTGTCCTGCGTCACCCTCAGCCTGTGTCATGGCTTATCTCAGTGTGAGCCTCCATACCCACAGCCACACCGCAGTGCTGCTAAGGCAAACAGGATCTGTGGGGCAACAAACATGGGGGGCATGTGACATCAGTAGCATCCCCCTCCCACCTGGTGTCCCAGCCACTCACTGCACCACAGACACCTTTTCTCGCTGGTCCTTGTGTCACCAACTCACTCCAAACTCATGATCACCCCTTCCTTGCTCCAGCAAAACGCCATGCCTGGGCTGGCATCACCCTGTGCCATGCTCCCCACGTGCCTGAGAAGGTGCCCTGGGAGCTTGGACCAGCAGCAAGGGGACAGCAGGGACACATCCCTGGGAGCCACCAGTTCTGGCGGTGAGATTGTGGCAGCCCTCTGCCACCCATCCTCAGGCTCAAGGAGGAGTTGCTCTGAGCCCATCAGTGCTGCGGCTGCTCCTTGGCAGTGGAGGGTCCCATGGGCACCATCCAGCAGCTTGCTGCTGCCCTGTGGCTCTGGGGAGGGCATGAGGACACCCCAGGAGAGGCTTATGCTCTCTCATGCTCCCGGCACAGTGTCTCAGCATCTTCAGGGAGTGTCCCCACTGTGATCTTCTCCCCATGGCCCATTATAGGGCCTGGGTTGTGGCACATTTGTTAGGCAGATGGGCAGGAAGGCCGTTTCTCCATGTCAGTAAAGCCAGAAGGTGACTGCAGGGTGTTGGGGAGGATTGCTCAGGTCCACTGGCCTCCTGGCTCCCAAACACAAGGGGAAGGAAGGGGGCAGACTGAGCCCCAGGAGGACCCAGAGGGCTCCCAGCATGTCAGGCGCACCTAAGGTGCTGGGGGGTGTCACCCACTGAGGGCACCTCTCCCATCGGTGGCGTAAGCCGGGAGCACAGACTGACCATGGCACTTCCTCAGGGTCTGCCATGGGTCTGCAGAGAAGGGAGACATGGGAAAGGGAATGCTCAACGTGGTCTATGCCAGAGAGCCCCATCAGGCATCTGATGAAATCCCCCAGGGTGGGAGAGCCATGGGTAGTCTGGACAGGGCTTGAGCAGGAGACTCCTAAATGCTACATGCCCTCCCCATCATCCCTTGGCCTGTGGCCCAGGGCACAGCTCAGAGCTGTCATGTCCCACTCTGCTCCAGAGACACCTGCATTTCAGCAGTGGGTGGAAAAAGCTTCCCCAGGGGCAGGTTTCTAACCACAAGCACTGGAAGCCCAGCTGGGCACAGTGAAGCCCTGGGCTCAGATCCCAACTGAACACAGGCTTAAGGCTCTGTGTCTGTCCAGCACTGGTGTTTTCCCTGGTGGTCTTGGCTTGCCCCATGGCAATAATGGCAGGGGCTGCTCCTGCACATGGGGACATCCCTGTGTGCTATGGGATGCTGTGCCCAGGAAACAAAAGGGCCCAGCAGCACCCAGCACTCGTGACTCTGCTGTGGAGGAATGAAGCTGGGGCAGGTGATCAGCTAGCGTGACCCGGTGCCTCCTGGCTGGCATGCTGGCCCTGCCTGCCCCAGGGCTACAGCATGGCATGGCAGGCCATGGTGACGTGACAAGGGGGATGGGGCACACAGCCACCCTGCCCTTGCTGGCCCACGGGCCAAGGTAGGGCATCCACATTTGCGACAGTTTGTCACCACCTTGTCACATGAGATGGTTTGCTCCCAGGCACCAGTTTGAAGACACAAGGACCTAGAGGTGGCTGTGTGATGCCAGGGTCTGCCCTCCTCACACAGTGCCCTGGGTTTGTGCCAGGCATGGATGAGGCTGGCTCAGCAAAGTACCAGCACCGGGCAAATGGGTGCCAAGTTGTTGGCTTGGACTGGCCTGGGGGTCCTCTGCCAGCACAGGGCTAAATCCAGGATGAACACACCCAGATAGGGTCCCAAGTACCCCTGCCAAAGAGCCAGAGGGGCAACAGCCACCAGAAGGTAGTTCCCCAAATGCATCCCACAACCCCACCTTGCCCCTTGGCACCTGTCCCTGGTGAGTGTACATGTGTGCCTGTGCCAGACACTTGTGAAATGGCAGGGAATGGGCTATCACAGCTCTTCAGCCTGTCCCAGACCTCCCCCAGGCAAGAATCAACCCATCCTAACAGAGAGAGAGCAGCAATACTTGGCACTTGCCTTGTCTCTGCTCCATTCCCCACACAGACCACCCATCCCCACCTGAGTCCCACTTCCAGCATCTGCCCAGCTTGGTCACTGGGTCCTTCCTCACGCTTTGGGAGAAGCTGTGCCTGTGCCAGACTGGGGAGTGACCAAGCCTGTGCTCCAAACGTGGCCAAGGCACCCATGCAAGCACCAGCTCAATACGAGGGCTGGGCTGCCCTCCTGAGCAGGGGGATGCCATAAGGCTGGGTGGGTGCCCAGGGCAGCGTTCCCAGCCCCTTTGCCGCAGGGAGAGCACCAGGGAGAGATGCACAGCCCTCAGGGCCTGCTCCAGCCCTGCTGGGTGTGTTTGCTTGCCAGCGGGAGCTGAGTGAACCTGCTGCTGCGAGCAAACAAACACAAGCCAGGCAAACAGCAACGAAGAAAACACCCCACAAAGCCGGTGTGGGTGAAACTCTGGGCACCGGCAGGGCAAGGGCTCTGACAATGATTAAACTGGCCAACCCAGATTTCCCGGCAAGGCAGCGCTGGGCTGGGACCCGGTGGTTCATATTATGCAAATCACCTGGATCTGGGAGCATGAACGTTTCGGGCTGGAATTCCCCTCGGGCCGCCAGATCGCGTTACGCTGCCCGTGCTATAAAAGAGGAGACGCGGGCAGGGCTTGCCCATCGGCACCAGCCTCCCCAGGCCCATAAGCAGTGGCTAGCGGCTGGGCAGGGCACACACCGTATCCCCTCACTGGTTTCTGGATTATCTGCTGCTCCCGGGATTGCCATCACAGAAGGTACCAAAGCTTTTTCGTCCGGGGCCCTGTTGAGATCCTCAGCTCGGGATGGCCGCTTTGCTCCCCTCCCTGTGCATCTTCGCTCTCGCCAGGGGATGCGCTTGGTCTTTTCTCACTGCACGCCTGTTCTCCCACCGCAGCTGCCAGCCCTTTTGGGAGCCCAGTGAGATGGCGGTCTGGAGGGGCCCCCATCTAGCCCCCAAGCTTTGTCAAGCAAACAGCAAGATTTGGCTCTTCCACGAGGGCTGGGCAGGGGTTTGGTCCCCTCCTGGCTGGAGAGTTACTGGGATGTTCTTCTTGCGACTGGTTGAGAGGACTGGAGCTGCCAGCACTGGAGTCCCTGCAGTGGGCAGTGGGGCAGCAGGCTGTGCCAGCCCCAGCACTGCTATGCCGTGGGGCTGGGGGAGCATTCGACGGCTGAATGCCCTGCAATGCCCGTCCCCACGGAGGGGCTGTGCAATACCATTCTCTGCAAACCACCTGCTTGCTGTCCCTTTGTGCTGGCTGCCAGTGGGGCTGGTAAGACCAGGCTGCTGGGGACGGGACTCTTCTGCAAGCACGGTGACGCTGTGTCCCCGGTTTGCTCCGGCTCAGCCTCCCTGGCTCCCGGCCCCCAGGGCGGTGGTGAGTCAGGCCCCAGCCCCAGCCGGCAGGTGCTGGGCGGGTATTTCTGCAGAAGTGACCTGAGAGGTGACGATGGGTGGAGGGAGGGAGAGTCCGGCCTCACCCAGCCTGGTCCCAGGGGTGCTGCGGGTGCTGCAGGCTTTGGTCCCCCTGCCTCCATGGGGCCGGGGCTTACTGTCGTCTCTTGGCACAGAGCTTGATGGCGGGATCTTGTGAGATCAGCAACATCTTCTCTAACTACATCAGTGCTATGTACCAGCCGGACGAAGTGCAGCCAACCCTGGACATGCTGGGACACCTCGGGGACGACAGCACACTGGGGCTGAGCCTCCCCACTAGCCAGCCCCTGGCACAGAGCACAGGTAGGACAAGAGGAGCAGAGGTGGCTGCACAGGGGAGCAGGCACGCAAGGCAGAGCAGCTGGCTTGGAAGAGCATTGCAAGGTCCTAGTCCTACTGGGGGAGGTCAACAGCTTGCACCATGCCTCAGTTTCCTGAGGGGTGTGTTGGATTAAAGGTTGCTGGAGGACACCCTGGGTGGCACAAGGTGGGCATGCTTGGAGTGCATCAGATGCACATGGAGGATGAAGGACTCATTGCCCTCCTCCCCCAGCATGTCCCAGGGGATGGGCTGTCAGGGCTCACCAGGAGAACAGTTTGGAAGTACAGTTCTGGTGCCGGGGGTCCCAATCCACCAGTGGGACTGTCATGGGATGGCCTTGGGGGAGGCACGGGGAGCATACCAGCAGAGCAGGGCAGGGCAGATCCCAGCACAGATGGGACAAACGTCACCGAAACCGGGGGGGGGGGCATCAGGTTGTTGCTGTCTCCCAGGACAGGAGCAGGGCAGAGCGAGGCCAGTGACTTGGGAGCAGGTGCTAAGTGCCTGTTAGTCCCATAACCCTCCAAGTGCAGGGCCTGCTGTGCCCTGCGTGATCACCATGGGACTGGACCCTGTGCCCAGCTGCAGCTGGCAGCCCATGTGTGGCACACAGCTCTGGCATGGCCGCCCTGCCCCTGAGCCCTGCTTTCCATCCCTTGCAGACAAGCCGGAGTGGTTCAGTGAGCTTCCGTACTTCTGGACCAAGGTGCAGGTGCTGGAGTGGATCAGCTACCATGTGGAGAAGAACAAGTATGATGCCAGCTCCATCGACTTCTCCTGCTGCAACATGGATGGGCACGCACTCTGCCACTGCACCAGGGACCAGATGCGCCTCATCTTTGGGCCCCTGGGGGATGAACTCTACGACCGCCTGCATGAGATCAGTGAGTGTCCCAATGTCCCCTTCATCCCCAGGCCTGGCAGCTCGAAGCATGAGGCTGAGACGCCCGCCCCAGCCCAGGACCCCATGCTTCCTGGGCACTGTGGAGGGCTGCCTGGGGGAGGCTGCTCTGGGGAGACTGCGCAGGGGGATGTGGGAGCACAGACCAGAGTCCAGGCAGGGCTGGGCTTAGCTCCCAGTATACACCATTCCCCTCCATACCGAATAAGCATTGCTAATCCCAGTCCCCCCACCCCTGCAGCGTCTGACGAACTGAACTGGATCATTGACTTGCTGGAAAAAGAGGATGTGACTTCCCAAGAGACCTTCCTGGACTCTAGCCACCTGGGTAAGAGAGGGGCCCCGGCCAAGCCTTTGCCCCAGGGACCATGTGCTGGTGCAGGCAGGGCTAATCCCTTCTCTGTCCCTTCCAGAGCTGGGAAATCTCTGTGCCAATGACTCCCTGGAGGACATGAAGCCCACAAACCCCTTCCTATCCACAGACTTCACCTGCATGGCTGGTGCCATGTCCCCAGGCAGCTCTGATGTCTCAGGTCAGTGTTTTGCCCTGCAAAAAGGTCCCTTCACTTGTGCTGATCTGGGAGCTCAGTGGGGAACTGCCCCACCGCCAAGGGCAGGTTTGGGTCTTGCACCGGGCTGCCTGCAGGAGCTGGGGGTGGGAATCCAGGGGGAAGCATCTTCAGATGCTATCAGCTGGTGGTCTGAGCCCTGTCCCTTTGCCTCTCAGGGCCTGTGATGTCTCACAGCCCCAACTCCCAGGACTCCGGTGGAAGTGACCTTGACCTCGACCCTGTGGAAGCAAAGCTCTTCCCTGACAGTGAGTTGTTTGCTTCCCCCCCCCGGAGCTGGGAGAGGAGGGCTTGCTCCAGGGCACTTCCAGCAGCTGCAGAGCACATCCCATCTGGCAATGATTTAGGGACAACACCTGAACATCCATCCCCACACTGGGAAAGAGGGAGGGGGCTGGTGCTCTGTGCACCATGGGTCTGTTTCTCTCCATTGAGCATGGTGATGGTGCAGGCTCTGGGGCAGAGCTGGGGTAGCCAGGGCAACAGTGAGCTTGGTGGGAAGGGGTAGGTGGTGGCAGCTGGGTGAGAGCTGCAGCCAGAGATCCTGGACACTGAAAACTGTGTTCAGTGTTGATCCCAGCTGGCGATGATACTGGGGAAATCGAGGGTGCGAGGTAGCAGCAAGGTTTGGGGAATGAACAGCATGCTGCCCTAAGCATGGTGGTATGGATGAAGGTGGGCCAAAGCTGGAGGGAATTGGGAGACCTTGCTCTCAGGGGAATGGTTCCCTGGTACCCAGGCCCGAAAAGAGGGTGCAGCCCCTGGTCTCTCCCCCTGCCCCAACCAGCTCTCCCCTGTGCTTCTGTTCCTGAGGAGGACATCTCTGTGGCCAGGGAGGGAGGAGCTGCAACCCAGCAGGCTCTGCACAGTGTAACATGTCCCCTTGTCTCTGTGCACAGATGGCTTTGCAGGGAGCAAGAAAGGGGACAGCAAACATGGCAAGCGGAAACGGGGACGACCCCGAAAACTCAGCAAGGAGAGCAGAGACTGCTTGGAGAGCCGGAAGAGCAAGCACTGTACGTGGACCCTTCAGCCGGGAGTGAGGACTGCCTCCCCCAGTTTGGCTCCATGCAGGGGAGATGGGAGGAAGGGCCATGTCTGCTGGCCATGCCCCTTGACAGGGGGGTTTAGGGAGATCCAAAGTGCAGGGACCCACAGGATCTTCCCTGCTATACAGCTTGCTCTCCTCTTCCAGCCCCAAGAGGTACCCACCTGTGGGAATTCATCCGGGACATCCTGATCCACCCAGAGCTGAATGAGGGGCTGATGAAGTGGGAGGACCGGCGGGAGGGCGTCTTCAAGTTCCTGCGCTCGGAGGCAGTGGCTCAGCTCTGGGGCCAGAAGAAGAAAAACAGCAGCATGACCTACGAGAAGCTGAGCCGAGCCATGCGGTGAGTGCCCTCCCCTGTCCCCAGGGGGGACCTGCCCCACAGGGCTGGGTCAGACCCACCAGGGCTCAGCCTTGATCCCCCGCAGCAGTTCCCCAGCACATGGGGCTGCATCCAGAGCCCTGACTCCATCTCCTCCAGGTATTACTACAAACGAGAGATCCTGGAGAGAGTCGATGGGCGACGGCTGGTATACAAGTTTGGGAAGAACTCCAGTGGCTGGAAGGAGGAGGAGGTGCTCAACAGGAACAAGGAGCTGTAGGAGTCCTGGATGAGCCGGGGTCTGACAAGCCCCTAGGGGCCAGCCCCATGCTGAGCTCCTTGATAGGAAATTTTGCCTGCGGCTGTATCTGGAAGCTGCTGCGCTGTGCAGCGTGTGGAACTCCGACCCTTGCATGGGCACACTTGTGCGTGCTGGTGTTTAAAGCTAATATTTTGGCTCCGGTAGGCTATTGTAAACCGTTACTTCCCTCACTGGATTCGTACCTCCAACTGGAGTCGCAGTGACTTTGGCTGTTTCAAAGCCTGGACAAATGCAAAGGGGAAGAGAAGTTTGAGTGGCAGCTGGCGCGCAGTGAGAGCCCAGCAGGTCTCCTGCTGTCACCCACCTCCTGCCCGGGAAAGAGCGGCAGCACCACCATCTCACCTGTGATCGGACAGCTATGGGGTCCTCCCCTATCACTGCTTGCGCCATGCTGAAGGCGCTTACCGTCCTGTTTGCTCCGCGTGGGATGGGTGAGGCCCCCCCCTGTGCAGCAGCTTCTTAGGGTAGCACCTGCTGAGAGAAGATGGGAACATTGTGGAGCTTCACTCTAGCCCTGGAGAGCCTTCAGGAGGGAGAGGACTGGGGACAGCAGGGCTGCTCTGCATTTCCAGCCCAGCTGCCTGTATCTGGAAACAGGCCTTTTCCCCAAAAGCAGCTTCTAATTTATGTAAGACCAAAAAAAAGCACAAAATGAATGTACAGATATATTTTTTCATGAGTAAGATGTTCCCGTGTGAGAGTGTGCATTGTAGGGCACGCACGTGTCTTGTGGCAGGTGGTGATGCTCAGCTGGACTGAAGCGATGTCACGGGGGCACAGACTGGCTCTGTGTCAGCCACAGGAGGGGGATGCCAGCCCAGCCAGGCACCCAGCAGGTGCATGTGGTTTCCTCCTTTTCAAATGGGAATATAAGAGGAATAAATTGTTTGGTTGGTTTTTTTGTACCTCCCTGCCATTTCGCTTGTTTTTCTTAAAGACGTGGTGGGGACCAGACTCATTACCTGGGATGTCCCATTGCATGAAACCTGTCTGCCTCCATCCCTCCTGCCTGCCATGGCCTGGACTTGCCTGGTCATCCTGGCACAGGGTCACAGGGTCTTCCTTAGGATGAGGTGGGCTGGTGGGAGTGAGATCTGGAGGCTTTGTCTCAAAGCCAGCTATGCAGGGGCGTCCTAGACCCACTCCCAAACCTTGGCCCTTCTGAGGACCCTCCAGAAATTCAGTACTGTCACTCGCCTTTGCAAGAGGGCTTTCCTGGAGCACTAGCTCCAAGCCAGAAGCAAATTCCTGGTCCCAGAGCCCAGTCTGCTGGGTGGAGGGGGTCTCTCTCAGCTCCCTCCTCATTAAGGTCCCCAGCCTGGCTGGGGGTCACAGGCTGTGGGAGGACCTCCAGCCCCTCTGGCCAGTGCTTTCTTCTGAGGCATGAAGGGCAGCACAGGCACTGCAATATGTTTAAGGCTTGCTCATCTTCCAGTCTGGCTATCTGGGAGCCTCTCCTAGGAGCTGGGTGCCTCTCAAGGACCATACCTTCAGGAGGGGGGACTGGTAAGGCCTACAGTGTGGACAGCCCAAACACAGTCTGCCCCTTCTTGCTCAAAAGCAACACCAGCCTTCCCAAGCTAGCCCAGCCACGAAGAGGTAGGGAGCATGCCCCAGGGGTGCTGGGAAGATCTCTCTGACCCACAGGATATGTCTGTGGGGCTGCAAGAAGGAATTCATGGGGTCGAAGGCCAAGCAGGCTCTCAGATATGTTCCTACCACGAGCTTGGCAAACAGTGGTCCATGCATTGCTCCCAGCTGGCGTGCATTGCCCGCATTTCATGGCAAGCATTTCTGAATACTGCTGGGCACCAGAGGGTCTTGTTGCCACCCCAACCTCTTGCTGGTGTACAGGACCCTGCTGAATGTGGGCATGCAGTGGATAGCACTACTCAGCTCCTGTTCACCCTCAAGGGGAAAGGCCCTGGGACCCCTCCTCTGAGCTTGGAGCTTGACCAGGTGTCCTGGTTTCAGCTGGGTTAGAGGCAAAAGCAATGCCACATCCTTCTGAATGGTTTCAGCCAGTGCCTGGAGTGACTAAGGAGGTGAGCCAGCCCACCAGCAGGGGGATGAGGGGAATTTTTGGGGTGCCCCTAGGCAGTAAAGGTGCCTTGCAAAGCCTGAGATGCCTTTTTGGCAGGAGGACCCAGCCATCGTTCCTTGACTGCCCTTCATTACTGCTGGAGACGTGGTACAGTTAAAAATCACCCATCCCACACTTGCAAGAGTGTGACCCAATGCAAAAGAGAGAGAAATAAGTCCTTCAAAGCAAGGTCTCACATGACCTTCTGTGCTGTCTCCCCTGGGCTGTCCTGGCTGCAGCAGCTGCAACTGCTCCCAGTCTGCCTGGCCTCAGCTTGAGAGTGAGGCTGGTGGCTTAGAGCATCCCTGCTGCCAAGCCACTGTGCTGCCAGAGGAAGCCCAGGCCCCTGCTTCACCAGGACGTGGATAACAAGAGATGGGTCCAAGGGCTGGGGGAACCACGGACCCTGCTGCAAGTCTCTTGTTTTGCTTTCAAACTCCTGGTGGCCCTGGCCCTGGGCACCCTACTTCTCTGCTGACAACCCTCAGGTTGTGGGCCCAGTGGCAGCTGAAGGACCTCCTGGAGATGCTGCAGTGGCATCAAGGGCATGGCCCACCTGCTTTGCCAGGGGCAGGAGGTGCCCATGGGCCAGGTCCAACCTCTTTTGGGAGGCTTCAACTGTTGTTTACATGAGGAGTTGCCTTGCTGGTCCAGCTGGGACACCTGGTCTCCTGTGGCCATGCTATGCCATGCCATCCCATGCCCACCCTTGCAATTCAGGAAGACATAAGAGGGGGTCTGCAACCATGCAAAATCCTGGGGATGACAAAATCATATGGAAGACCTCCATCCCTCACCTTCTAGTGTGCTGGGCTGAAGTTGTACTGCTCCCAGATCCACACGCTGAGATGAGGCCATCAGGGTTGCCCTGTGGTGCAAGAAGAGGTCCCAGTCCCTGGGTGTGAACCAGGAGCCAGCCTGTGGTCTGGGCTGCAGCCAGACCTCTGTCACGTTCCTTGCGTAACGTTCCCCAGGGAACAGGTTTTCCTGGCTGGCGTCTGCTGGCTCCAGCAAGCGGAGGGTGCTCCAGTCCCATCCCTGACCTCCTCAAGCTGCCGCAAGGAGCAGGCTGGACTGGGTGGCAGGAGGGACAATGCCAAGATGCTTAGGCTGCCCATGCAAGTAGCATGTGTGGGAGGGGGCCAGGATGGTGGTTGGTGGCAACCAGCATGTCCGGAGAGGGGACGCGGTGAGCAGGGCAAGCCCAGCCCCAGGCCAGGTCTCGCAGGAGCAGTCTGCACTCCTGGCTGCTGTCCCTCTGAGTTTGGGGCTGTGGGCGAGGTGTTTATTCTCTGTCAATAGATAACCCTGGCAGGTTGGCAGGGAGAGGGGAGCACTTTGTCACGCAGCCTGCTGCCCTGCCAAGCGCACCTTGTTTGCTCAAGCAGTTTCATTTCTTTCCCGCTGCGGTTTGTGTTACCTAACTGGCCTGGGACAATGTTTAACCAGCTCCGGCAGCAGCAGGGAACCTGTCTGCCTTGCCTCCCATGCCCCCATTGTCCCCACCACCCACCACCCACCAAGCAGGGGGGCATGCCAGCCAGGAGGCTTGGGACAGAGGCTTTGGGTCCATAGACCCCAAAGCTGTATGGGCACCCTGTGCCAGAGGAGGAAAAAGAGGCAGGGGTGTGTGGGCACAGGCTGGGTGAACAGATCCTGCAGGCTTCCATGAAGTCTGCATGGGTCTGTGGGGCAAAGACCCAGGGAACACTGGAGGAGGGTGAGCAAGGCCAGACACATACATACCCCAACATATGTGCACACACCAACACACACTCAGGGTAACACCTGCAGTGACCTCCAGGCCTGTATTGAGCCAACCCAGCAGAGCCTTCCAGCACACTGGCATGAAAAAGAGATGATTTATTTGTTTTTTTAATCTCCCTGGAGGTGCCTGGATTTTATGGCTGTGGCAAGCCATGGCAGAAAATGGAGAAAAAGAGGATTTTCCTCCAAAACAACCTCCCCTCACACACTTACACTGGGGTCTGCAGGGGGACCTTTCCCACACGGTGGTCCCAGGATGAACATGTTTCTGGTACACAGTTCCCATGGAAATATCTTGGTTACCTTCAATTTTGAGCATTAAAGTGGGTTTTCTGTCCCCCAAGATGCCCCACAGGGACACAGGGGCCATTGCTGATCCCTGGCCCCAGTTAGGGAAGAGGAGGGCAGTTTGCCCTGGCCAGTGCTTGTCTGGAACCCATGGACCCGAAGCAGGCTGCTGTGGCTGAAATGTGGCAAACATGGGAGCAGAGAAATTGGGTGAGGGGAGAGGTTTCAGCTGGGCCAGCAAGGTGTCCTATATCCCACATGCCAGACCATGAACTGCCCCTGAGCACAACAGCATGACCTGATTTTCCAGCTAAGCCGGACTGCGGCCATCCTTGCAGTAGATCAGGGTGGATGGGAACGTGGTAGGGATGGGGGGGCAGCCTGTGGGAGGCAGAGACCATCTCCCCTGGAGCCCCTGCTCTCCCTCCCACTCCCACTGACTTTTCCTCAAGCTCCCTGCAGTCCCTACTGGCTTTCACCCTTTCTTACCCTCCTGCTTCTGGCTCAGCAAGATGGGGGAGCAGGACTCCACCCCATACTGGGAGCAACTGGGGGTGTGGGGTCCCAGCTGCCTTCCCATTGCCATGTGCAGGGGAGCTCCTGGTAGCAAAAGAATGGAGACTGTCCCCAGCTCCACAGAGAGGGCAAGAGGAGAGAGCCCAGGTCTGGGGCCAAGGCAGCACCTGATGCAAAAGGAAGGTTGGCTCAAAATATCCAATGTCTTCTTTCCTCAGGCAAAACATTTCTTTGGTGGGGCATTTCTTTGGTGTGTTTCTCCCTGGGGTGCCTCGTCAAGGTGGGAATCAGCCCTTCAGACTCT